TAGTCTATTCTGAAGTCATTTCAGTCATGATAGGATGTGGGCTTTTTAACGAACTTTGTTCTGACCACTAACAAAACTTAAATGTATTTCCTCTCGTCTTGGGTCAGAAGACTTATTTAAAATTTGTTTCTTGACTTATGTTATGCTGCATCGGCCCCAAGTTGCTACTTTAATTACTACGTATTTCTCAAACGCCTGTACTTTGCAGGTACGTCAACCTCTACCAGCTTTCAACGGCAAACAACCCTGACAGTCATCCCATTTTACGAGAGGACTTTTGGTATGTTCTCGACGAAGTCGGTTCCAGCATACAGCATTCTGACAACCCAAACGGTAAGCGCTCGTATGTGAAATATTTTTTTTGGCCTAACAAATGAAATTTCTGAGACTGTTAATTCCTCTTGAGGTGACGTCTCTACCACGGAGAAATCGAACTGGGAGGTGGGTTTGGATCGCATTCCACAGGGCAGAGAGAGAGAGGAATGCCTTACTTAGAATAGAATATCCTAAATTTTCAGCAAAAATGGCTCAATTAATGGAGAGCAAGGGATAAGTTAAGTAGGGGGTCACGATAAAAGTTCAAAGGTCATAGAATACTCAAAGTTAAAGTTTTACACGATATCCACATCTAACATGGAGACAAGTCAGCTTTCAACTTCTCTATTTCCGCTTCTTCACACGTGAGATAGCGTGCAGGGGAATGGTAGTACAGAGCGCTGATATGCCGATTTACGGCAAGACATATGACGGAAGCCTCGGCGCATTGTACAGGAAGACTTCGCAGCCATTAGTTCAGAGTGAAGACGGTGAGCGACCTTACCAAGGATACGATTAGCAAATTGCTTGAACGCAAGCGGCGGATATGATATAAAAGTTTACGGATTTTAATAAAAAGCCTTCTTTATGAAGAGTAGATGACAGCTTAGATGCTAGAGTAACACCAAGGTACCGGAAAGAGGATACCTCGTTGGGCAGATTGTCACTCGTTTTGGGCCTAGGAGAGGGTCGCTGTTCTATAGTGTCAGCTAAAAAAACAGGAAACACCGGCAGCCGAAGAGAGCTTTCGTAGGATACGTTTAAGAATGACCAGGTCTTTTTTAAATTGAAGCTGTAAAAATAACAGGAGAGCAGTGAAGAATGAGGGTAGGACTAGACTTAAGCCCCACAGTGTGTTTCTCCTCCCCATTGATTTTGCCAAGCCCGTTCTATTGGCTGTGGTTTCGCAATTTCGAATTTAACTGCTACTGACTACGTTTCAGTAACGCGTTTTATGACCTGTCAAGCATTCTGCGCTACCATACCCCCTATTAGTTCACATTTGTAATTTTAGGACGCCTCTCATGCCATTTTTTTCACCTAGATTAATAAACTATATAAATAGGGCGTTCAAAAGCGTTCGCCGCTATTTTCCCGAAATAAACTGAACTGAACAATCGAGGCCTAAGGCCCTCTCCAGGAAACTGCAGGAAAATTAGCTGCGGGGTATTCTCTGCGTCCACAGGTGGTGGATAATGGAAGCGTCTTCAGCGAACGTTGTTTTATGCGAAGTAAGCACGCTCTTCGGTCTGAAGGATAGGCAGTCTCAAACTGGCGGCGATATTGCTACTGAGTGTAGAGGGCTGAATTCTGGCACGCCATTTGCCTTATAACATATCGCGGGGCGACCATGAACCGTCATTGAATAAGTCTGCTTTTTGTTGCTTTCTCGCAAGCAAAAAATTCGAACGGCTATTGGTCCTCACTTGGACGAAAATTACTAAGATATCCTCTGGGCGAGGTCAGACATGTTTACACCTGTACAAAGTACATCGCGCAAATTTTAGTATCTAGTAGGTTTTACATGTTTGGAATATGTCTTGCAGTGACACTCCGACCAACGTAGTAACTGTAAGTCCTATTACGTCTGTATGTCCGGTTTGTTTCTTTTGTTGTGCGCTCCCGTCCTCACTGTTTAAAAGGCCTGCTTTAAAGGTTTCAAGTTTGTCTTCAACTTATTTTTGGATCTTTAGATCAGTTCTAAGGAGTTCTTATGGCTGGTTACTGTCATCTCATTGAGACATTTCGACTTACAACCACCCAAAATATATTATTCTCTTTTAGTGCGTATTGCTCCGATTTTGTACACCCAGGATGGTCTGTGCTATTCCGTCTTCTGGCCGATAAGAGACATGAGAGAGGGAGGTGAGCCGCATTTTTGTTTTGCTTTAAACACCACTTTCCGATTGCTTTGCCAGGTAGGAGCTTGACACTGATTACAGAACTACTGCTTCTTATGGCTTATTTGTGTAGTCTTCTACTCGGGGCGAGAGCGATTGTTGTTAATCGATTGGAGTACAGTCACTGACCAACCTCTTGCCAAATTAACCGAAATTATGAAATTCGTGGACGATTAGGAAGGATAACTGGGATGGGAT